GAAATGCTAGGGTATGTTATCTGGAATAGAGCCTGTTAAAGGTCCAGCAGCTTTTTTGTTTTTGTTCATTCATACTGTTTGCTAAATTACAGAGTGTAATGTGCTCTCTGTTGCTCTACATAATCACCCCTGCAGCAGCTGAACTTTCCAGGAGAAGTACACGCTAGAATGTAGTAGCAATGATGATAGATCACTTCATCAGTGTGGAGCCAGACTGCGGCGAATTAAAGACACAGGTCAGAGGTTTAGGTGTCCTGTGAAACCATTCCATGCTAATGAAGCTTTTTGAAATTGTAGTCTGCTGTTTTCATATAATGGCAAGCCAGCCCTGTATTTTTTTTATTGCTTTCTTCGCTTTGTATCGTATAAAGGGGGCTAGTGCTTTTTTTCTGTGTTTATTAAACCGATTTATCTTCCTTTTAGATCTTATATTTAATAAACCAGCCACTTAGCAGGGAAAGGAAATCATTTTCTTTAAATATTAAATAACCACAGACATTATCATTTTAAAGCATATGATTCTACACTACTTTCTCACAAACCTCACTGCTTGGAACACATTTACCCATTTTCGCTGCTCATTTGATCATCTAATTGTATTATTTCATATATTTATATTTTTTCAAATTGATTGAAAGGTCTTATTACAGTTTTTTAATCCTGTTATTTTAGCAATCACAAGCACAATAAAGGATGATCATGAAATGTTTAATATTACTTTTAAATATTGATCAAATAAGATTGGCATATTCTAAATAAAATAGTTCAGGTGGGTAGCTGCGTCAGCATGCATAGGCTGCAAAGGAACAAGTAATAGGTTTATTCCATGGTGAAAAGAGAAGAGAGAAAAAAAAGGTCTTTCTCACACCTGAAGAGGCTTCACAGCCAAAATGTTGTATTTTCTCTCTTCTCAGAGGAGCCTTTGTTTGTTTTATTATATTTTATCCCAACAATATTCAAAATAGATGCATACCAGAATCTTAATAAAATTAGTAAAAATATAGAATCCAATGCTGCAACGTAAGTGAGTTTATTTCGAATTAAGATGTACAGTAGAATATGCAAAATTTGGAAGCAGGAGCAATTCACAATTGCCTATCTTAAAAAATGAATCTTCAGGATCAGCTAGTTAAGTACCAAAACTGTAACTATGAAAATAATGTAGGGCCCTGAAAAATGAATTATATTTTAAAATGCTGTTCATAATTTGCCCCTTCTTTGTTTTTGTTTTGGATTTGTTTTTCTGGTGCTTTTCAAGTTTCACCAGAGGTTGGGAGTCCTCTTTGCTTCCTGACAACAAGAGAAAACAGGCAAGAATGTCACATGACTCACTCACCCAGCCCAACTGCCTAAGACAGCTTTCTAAGCTAAAGAAACACACACAGACACACACACACACACATAAACACACACAAGCACCGAATGCCACAAATAACTTGCTTATAGCCTGCCTTGCCAGCGCTTATGGACTACAGAGTAACAATTACTACAGCAGGCTGTGAATGGCCTCAACGGTTGTGTCTTCAGAAATGAAACAGTTATCATTTCATACACTTCAAAGGCTGCACTCTAAACCCAGCAGCAATGTAGTGCTATTGTGTGCAGGGGCTCCCTTGTAGAACACAGAGCTGCCCCCTCAACAATAGCTGGCTTCTCTCCTGTTCGCTCTTGGCTTCTTGCCAGTTGCCTGTTTGCTTTACACCATTAATTTATGTTCACTGAGATGGTGCAAGGTTCTAGAGCAACTTTGGCTATCAATTTGCCTGCCAAGCAAACTGTTGCCTGCAAAGGGAAGGACTGGGGGGCCCCTAGAGGATCTGCAGCACACAGCTCATAACAGTAAACATCCATAAGGCTAAAAAGCAATAATTTTTAAACCTCCAGTGCTGAGCACAGTCAGAAGGCTATAAAAGGATGGGGGTTGACATGCACACACAGTTCACCCAGAGAACAGGGGAAACGGCCACAAATGTAAACAGCTGTAAATGGCAAATTAAAAGAGACATGTTTGGGGTCAGCATCCTTGTCTGTTCTTCTGCGTCTTGGTTGTGCAAAGGGTTCTGCTGCCTTGGGCATGATGGGTTTCAGTGTGTTTTCACTGCTGGCGGCACTGGTCTTTTCTCCAATAGAACCTGGGGGGGGACTGTGCGGCAAGCCCTAACCCCAGTCTTACACCTAACAAGGAGGGTTTAGCCACCCTGCGGACATCTGGCTAGCCTAACAATGAGGAATTACTCCACGTTCCCAAGTCAGGGGTGGAACTTCTGGCTCCTTCCAGAGATTCTTTCCCTCACTTGATTTTGTTCCTGGAAGTGCAGGAGGTAGGGATGATGCATTTCACTTTGGTTTTCAGGTCAGGGAACAAGGAGGCAGTGGAGCTGGGATGTTAGCTGAAGAACATTCAACAGCAGGGAAAGGGAGTACAAAAGGGTCACACCCATTTCTAAACTGTAAATTCAATAAGGTGCATTGCCATTGGTCAGCAGAGGCAACCTTTTACCATGCACTTCTTTCAATTAAATGTACTGCAGAATGGATAGCTTATGTGTTGGCTCTGACCAAACCCAAACATCCAAC